TGTTGTATTTCGGGTGGGTGAATAAGAATCGAAGTCATAACGCTAAACAAGCTTATATAAACTCAAAACATTCATAAGTTAGGTTCCATGCCGCCGCCCCCAAACCTCCAACGAATTTTCAGTAATCGCTGCCTTCTATGACAATTATGTGACCTCTTGTTCACTGGAAAAACATGGCAAAAGGTTGTGAACGTTAGCAAATGCTAGCTTAATAATGCCAATGATCATAGGTGTATACGCTCATTATTTTTCGAATGCAATTTCTCTTGATTACAAATTTAACTGGAAATGTGCACGGCGTAGCGAAAAATACCGGCAGAGAACTGGCTTAGGTATAGCTGGCTGACGACGTCTAATAAGCCAGAAATGACCATTCCAGTCTTTCTTATCTTTGGCTAGAATGTACTTGTGCCTATATATTATTCTTAAATTGATTAACCATGCACCCAGCAGAGATAAAGAGACCAGACGTTTACTTTGTCGATTTTATGACAATGTATAGGGCAACTGTGGGGGCATCAGCCATTCCAGCGTTCCCACACGATTCCTGGGACATACTGGACAGAGAATTTAATTTCAGACATTTTGTTTTCCATGTTTTAATAAGTACTGATTTCAGGTTACTGAAGCCAGCAACACCTGCTATATGAAAAGTACTTGAACAAAGTTATCATATTTCGGTTTCATACTTTTTATTGATGCGTTATAATTAGTACTTTTTATACTGGAACATCTTGTGACAAAAGAGTAATTTTTGGGAGGAGTTTCGGGTTAGAGATCGTGGTGTGATTAGAATAGATAGAATTAGGTTTAGAATTAAAGTTAGAACCATAACATGGTGATAGGTTCCCGTACTGGAGTGTAGCACAAGGCTACCTGCAGCATAGAGGGGCCCTTATTTTCTTTTCCAACCAAAATAGGACTGATTACGAGGTAGCATAGATGGAGCATGGTTTAATGGGGCAGGTTTATAAGGCCCCTGATGCTTCAAGCGGTACATTCGGCGGTCTCATCTCAGATAAATCAGATTAAATCACGAAACCCAGGTTATAAAATCCACGGTTTCGGTTGCCTGTCTCGTTGGCTACCAGCACAGTTTTCCTTTATTCATTTCCGCCAAAGTCACTCAAATCTGTTTATTTGTGACTTGCGTTTCCCGTCGTCTTGTTGAACTGTGGGGTCGTGGTAGTTGGGTCAGCCCCAACCGCATGACGGCAATTCATGAAGATCACGAACGCAGCTTTTGCGGGGGTTGATAGCGACAGAAAATAAGTGCAGTAGTCGCCGGCTATTAAGCCCACCTCGGGCCCAGACCTAATTGGGCTTAATAAGCGGCGGGCTTATTAACCGTGGGCTTAATAGCCGGCGACTACTGTACCACAAATGCCGTGACTGTCAGCTTCTACTTAATCGACAGCCGCATTGATGTACTGACGGCGTGGACGACCTTAGGTCAGAGCAGAACAAACTGTCAAACTGACGGGTCACAGTTCCAAGGCATCTCGTCACGCAAAGAGGCCACTGCAAGTGCAAGCCGTTGTCAGGTCGATGAGGGGGGGGGATCACGCAACGGAGAAATCAATAATTAAATGGCGGCGGCACAAGTACGATGTTATTTACACCCGTGGACTTTATAAACAGCGTTTTGTGTTGTCTACCTGAGGCCCGAGGTTTAGCAGCCAAGAGTGCTAGTTGAAAATTCCGAAGTCCAATAAGCATAAGGCAGTAAAAGCGACTTATTCTATGACTTATTCTATGCTGGCCCTCAAGTCTCTAAACATCGGGCGCGACACATAATGTTTTAGAAAATTTCTGCTTTCATTTCAGTTGAGCATGGGGAGTGTGTTGGCGATCCCGTCAACATACTGTTTGAGAGTGTTGGAATCCCCAAATTAGCATTAATCTGTTCATATCAGTGATCACAGCTAAATCCTGGCTTCTGACCAGATATCTATAAGCGGCGGTAACTCGATGGGTGAACTTGAATCAGTTCCATACGAACAAGTAATGTCAACTCTCGCATTTTACAACTAATTTCCCCCTTATACACTGCTTTTCTGCAATGAAGGTAGTTGTGGTTGGGGGCTGCCATGATTTAAACCACCGCGACAATTAGGATCCCAACGTGATAGAAACGCGTCTGCTAAGCGGCGTGGCTGAGCGCAGTCGTCAAAAAAATTCCCACACGATTT